AGGGAGCCCAACAGAGCAGCAAGGGGAGCAAAGCAATGAAGTCCCCGAAGAATCCCAAAAATAGACTGAGCTTGGCACGTCATCACACTGGTGCAGAAAACACCCATAAGGGTCAACAGACAGACCTGGAACTATTTATAGGCTTTTTTTTTCCCCTTTTCATGTCTTATTTATATAAGATAGGCAGGATAAACAATCCCAAGGAGAAAACAATGGGACTGATGGTTCTGGGGGGACAGGAGAAAGGGGGAGGTGGGGAAGGAAGAGGGGAGCCAATAAACCCAGGGACAAAGGAACAGCAAGGGATCTAAAATCGATGATGAGGAGGAAGGCATAGAATCCCAGGTGGGGTTGATCAAGTGTAACGTAGCCGAGAGGAATTACTGAGAGCTGAATGAAGGTCAAACATGATAACGGGACGGGAGGAAAGTAAAAGGAAATAGAGGAAAGAACTAGGAGGCAAAAGACTTTAGAGATATGAATACAGGCACATACATATGTAAATATATGTATAATGATAGGGATATAGTTCTATGTATATATATTCATATGTTAAGTACTAAGGTAGTAGATGGACATTAGGAGGTCCACGCACTCCCTCAAAGCAAGAACACCTTGTTCTAATAACCTGGCATTTTGTGAGGCTCAACTTCTGGACACAATCACTGAAGACAAAATGGGTGCATAAGCTAATGTGGTGAAGAAAGCTGATGGTGTCTGGCTATTAAAAGATATAGTATCTGGATCTTAAAGGTTTGAAGATAAACAAGCAGCCATGTAGCAGGGAAGCAACAAAGCCCACATGGAAGAAGCATACCATCCTGTGTGATCATGAGGTGTTGACAGGATCAGGTATCAGGCATCAGAAGACCCAAAACAAACAATCATATCGATTTGAATGAGGGGGGCCAAGTGGAGACCCAAAGCCCATTTGTAGACAATTGGACATATCCACACAGATGGGTCACAAGAAAGGGACAAGTCGGCCAGGGTGCAATATAGCACTGACGAAATACACAACATTCCTCTAGTTCTTTAAAGCTTCCTCCCACCCTACCCCCCACTATCATGATCCCAGTTCTACCTTACAAAGCCAGCTGGACCGGAGCATGTACCCTGTGAGCGCTCAACACACAGAATCCAGGACAGAAAACCCCCCAGGAACAATAATGGGAGTAGCGATACTAGGAGGGCAGGGGGAAGAAGCGGGGGAAAAATGGGGAACCAATCACAGTGATCGACGTATAACCCCCCGCCTCCTGGGTGACGAACAACAAAAACATGGGGGAAGGGAGACAATGGATGGTGTAAGATATGAAATGATAGGACTGGATCTGAACCTTCCTCTTCTCTGTATTCCCTGAAGCAAATAGGAAATGCTGACCGACCAGCTGACATAATTAAGCCAGCATTCACTTGAGTAAACAAATAAAGCAGGAATTTCTTGCCAGAATTGTTGGGTCGGTGGTTCAAGTCCCACCAGTGTCGCTGTGGCAGTGTGTTTGATCTTCTGATTTGGCATCAAAAATCAGGAGCCCTGGTGGCCCAGGGAGTTAAGCACTGGGCGGAAAGGTCAGTGGCTTGAACTCACTAGAAAGAGAGAGCTGAAAACACCTGCTCTCACATAGATTTGGAAACTCTGAGGAGGATTATCAGAGAGCATTCCTGCTGGTGTCCCGTCAGCATAATCTAATTAAAAAACAAGACAATTCTTAATAATAAAGCATTTATCTGCTATGGTAAAAAAGATGAAATAATAATCATTTATAAATTATCAAGGGTTCACGAGGGTGGGAGGGTGGAGGAAGGAGGGACAAAAGAGCTGGTACCAAGGCCTCAAGAAAGAAGAAAATGTTTTGAGAAGGATGATGGCAACATACATGTAAATGTCCTCGATCCAATGGATGTATGGATTGTTGTAAGAGCTGTAGGAGCCCCCAATAAAATGAATAAGTTAAAAATATATATCTAGCTGCCATACTTGGGAAATCCTGTGATATTGGAGCTGGGATTTTTCAAGAAGCACTTTCTCTGAGGCAGCCTTGCCCTGCACTACTTGGCCTGATTCCCGTGGCTTGAAGGTTGTTATCGGAAAAGACATTCTTCCAAGACTCTGGTATCATTTTTAGAATGACACATTTTCTCCTCCTCCTCCTTTCCCCCTCCTCCTCCTCCTTCTTCACTGTTAGGTCCCTCTGCAATTTGCTCTCATGTCCTCCCCTGTCTTACCCTCTGAATGTTAGTATCTGTTTGCCTGGACAGACAGTTCTGGGAACTCAAGAACTGAGCTTGTCTTGCACCTCTGAGTCATCCTCGGCTTCAAACAGGGACTTTAGAACAAGAAATTGGTTGCATCAAATCTGAAGGAGGGACCGGTATCAGCGCTTCAATTGTGAGCACCCGGTTTGCAGAAGGCTGTGGATGGCAGTGGAAGCCCAGATCTATTTGCAGGGTCCCTCGGGGAAGAAGTCACAGGTGAATCTCCTCTGACCTTCCTCTTTGAGAGCTGCGAACAGCCTGGCAATCAGTCAGAGAGCGCTGGAAGTTGATGCTGGCAAATGGAATCAGGTTACAATGTAACACCTGTCTTGTGTTCTCCCTTTTGACCCATTTTAAAGTTGTTTCTGTTTTTTATATTTTCTGCTTGCTCTGGTTGAGATTTTTCTATGCCCTGTCTAGTCATGATTGTTGCGTGCTGTTTGTGTCCTTGCTTTGTATGATTTTGTATAATTATATTTTGTTTTGTATGATTTTCTGTATAAGAAATCCAGGACAGGGAGATTTAAAAAGAAAGTAATTGGATAGGGGCATTGCAAGGGAGAATGGGGATGGGGGTGGGGACGGGGCGCTAACAACAATGAGTATGAGAAGAAAATGTTCTGAAATTGATTGTGGGGATAGAATCATTTTAAGATGATTGGATGATTAAATTGTATGATTCATAAAGTATATGTCCATAAAAGTATTATACAACAAGAACGTTACCTAATATTATGGACTGAATTTCATCCCACCAAAAAGAGGTTGACCTCCTAACCCCCGGCACCTGTGAATGTGACCTTATTTGGAAACAGGGTCTTCACAGGTATAATGAGTTAGCAGGAGGTCAGACTGGAGTAGAGCCGAGTCCGATGTAACTGAAGATGCAACAGAGGCTGGAGCTGTGCTGCCAACAAGCCAAGGAACACGGAGGCTATCAGATGCTCTATCAGATGCTCGGAGAGGCAAGGAGAGATTCAAGGATGGTGAGACTTCACCTTACACACTTTGGGTGTTGTCGGGAGACCCCAGTCCCTGGAGAAGGACATCGTGCGTGGGAAAGTGGAGGCGGAGAGGACCCGGTGGTGCTTTGTTCTGTGGTGCACAGGGTCGTTATGGGTCGGAACAGACTCGAAAGCGTCTAACAGCAATAAGCCATTTAGGACCTGGTTAATGACACGCCTAGGCATCTAACGCACCCAAGGACAGACAGTGCTGAGAAATCAAAGGGGCTGGTGAGACAACCAGATGTCGGGGACAGCAGGACACTTCTACCGCCAAGAGGGTGGGAAAGACCCGGGGAAGGTGCTGCCTGGTGGGAAGGAGAACCCGGGCTTTCATGTGGGGAGCTGGTACCCCTGCAGGAAAGCGCTCCCCTAGACAGAGAGGGCAAGGAAACCATCTGAGTTCCCCCTCCTTCTCCACTCCCCACAGGGAGCTAGTGCCTCTCACTGGCCTTTCTCGCTGGGAGCTTGTCAGGGAAACCGGACAGCCCCTCAAAGCGTGGAAAGGAGCTAGGAGGACAAATGGGCACCGATTAGCATGGTGTGAACTAATAATCCTGGTGGCTTGCATAGATAAACAGATCCATGTAGGCATATATGGTGACTGATCAGTATTGACAGTTGCCGCAACTCCTCTAGGTCACAGACTATCAAAATGGTTCCATTTCTTATTTCTCTGCCACTAGTTGCCACGCACGATTTCTTGAGACTGCGAGTAGGAACAGTTTTGACCTGTAACTGGAGTTCAAAGGAGGGCTCTTAAACTCATTCCAAATTACCTGGACTTTAAACTATTTTCTCTGGCTCGCATGCCCAAAATATTCGTGGACATGGAGGCTAGTTGACATTACCCACTTTGAAATTCAGCCGAGCTCTCTTGAGCCTCACGTCTTAACAGCTGCAAGGGAGAGAGTTCTTCAGAAGGAGGCGAGGCACTAGTTCTGAGGCCAAGACTAGCCTATGTCTCATAGGTTAGCCCTTCATCAGAGGGTCAGGTCACCTGGCAGAGCCAACAGCGCTTCCACCCACTCCACACGGGCACCGGTTACTTTTTAGGGTGCAGAGATGGCTGCAATGCCACGTCCGTCCACCAGAGGGCCACCGGGCCGGCCCTCACAATCTTGGTGCTTCATGCACACCGTTACAAAGTGCCCTGTGGGGTCTCAGGTATCGTATCTCAGAGCCTCCCCTGGTGCCAGAAAGGAGGAATATTCTATCCAGTTTCCCCATTTCTCTTCCAGTGGTTCACTTTATGTTTAATGAAATCGAAAAATTTACACATTGCAAAATTGAAATGAAGTTGTATTTGTGTATGCGTGCATATGTATGTGCAAGCACACAGATGTTCATTTTGCAGGTGGGGCCCAAGAGTGGGGGGAAAAACCATTTGTGTAATTCAAGCTGGCTTACCGGTCACCTTTCTGGTCACATCTCCGGTCACATCAGTCAATATCTACTACATATTAATATTCTAGAAAACTCAGATTTGGAAAAAGAATTTAGAAATAATTTGGCATCCCTATCACATATAAAGGAACCCGTGTGTAGCTATTGAGTAAGGGTTGGACTGTTAGCTACAAGTCTAAAGTTCAAACCCACCAGCTGCTCCACAGGGGAAAGTTGAGGCTACCTGCTCCTGTAAAGATTCATAGCCTCAGGAACCCTGTATCGAATCCACTCCACAGCAGTGGGTTTAGTTCTTGTTCGGGATCACATATTGCTGTGAAAATTGACATAGTCTTTGCTGCTTATGAGATGTCTAGAAGGTAAGAGACTTTAGGAACATTGTTATTAAGAACCTTAACAACGAATTACTAAGGAATTGTGGTGGGATTGTATTTGAGTGCCCTGTCCTCCTCCTCCTTAGTACCAACAAAGACTTAAGAGACTTGTTTATTTCCATTTTCCATAGAAAAATGTTTGCTTCTCTGGTTCTAGTCCCATCTTTGGTCTGCTGATGTTTTTCCCAAACGCCACTGAATCGGGGGCTAGAAAGGCCTGATGTGGTAGGAACATTTCCTGGGATGCTGGTGGAATGAGGAAAACCTAAGTCAACCTCCTAATCACAGCGTCGATTAAAATGAGAAAAAAATTAGCAAAGACTTTTTGTATCAAGCAGAGATTAGTCCACAAGGATACTTAACGGAGAATGCATTAAGCTGGGAAAACGATGAGTGTGGGCCCCTTAAAAGAGCCTATCACTTCTCAAAAAAGAGCACAGAAATCTGTACTTTAATTAATCCCCAAAAAGAGCCATCACAGGAACTTTAATCTTTTCAAAGAAATGAGTGGGCACGAAATTGCCTTGAGTCAGAGAAGGTCAGAGGGACAAAGAGTAAAGGTCAAACTCAATGCGAAAGACAAACTTAAAATTCTGTTGAGGCGACACAAAGCAGAAATGACACTCAAATCAAAGCAGGAAAGAAAGAAACAAACTTGAGCCATCGCTCCAGAATGTTAAGAACCTAAGTGAAGCAGGTATTTCAAGGGGACAGATGTGGGGGATAGAGTTCAGCATTCTAATTTCTGGAGAGGTAAATTCCTCGGAATAAGCAGACCAAGTAAAAGATCCTAAATCCACAATCAAAGCTGTAACAATACATTTATCCAAAACCAATAAAGGATTAGATTTGAAATAGAAGCAAGTCAGATGATCTAATAAAATAGTTATTAACATTCAGGGAGCAACCTGTTATTTACAAGCACTTTCAAATGCATACATCTTTTCATTTGATATTCTCAACAACCAGATGAAGTGGACAGATACACTTCTCCTCTTGTCCTGACACACATGAACCTCTGTCTGAGAGGCTAAGTGGGTTGTTCAAGGGATGTAGCTTGGAAGTCCAGAGTCCAAGTTCAAGGCCAGGCCTTCCAAAATGGGGGTCTGAGAAGCATCTAAAACTCCACGAAAAATACATCTGCAATAACATGCAAAAAGAGCAACTCCCTTTCTTTGTTTTTAATTAAATTATGTTTATTATAAGAAATTAAAACAAAAGAAAAAAGTTAAAACAAAACAAAGCAACACATTGCAAATCTCACCATTTGGAAATAAGCATGAGCAATATTCGATAAAACTATTTTCTGGACATTTCATATATCCCTCAGGACTCTGAAGCTACTGTTTCCTTGTCCTCTCATACCTAGTATTGCTAGTAGAAGGTCTGATGTAAATTGTTTATGAATTTATTGTTTGAGGAATTATTAGTTTTCGTGCATGACTGAAGGCGTTTACAAGCTTCTCTTTATTCTTTGAGTTTGCGAATTTTACCAAGCTGCATCTTAGGATAGGCCTTTAACACTTTTTTAATACATCATTTTATTGGGGCTCTTATAACAATCCACACATCAATGATCTCAAAGTACGTTTGTACATATGTTGAGGATGGCCCTTTTTCTATGGTTGGTTTGACACTCATGAGGTTCTAGAGTTTAGGGGCAGGAGTGGGTGACCTCTAGCACAAGGGTTCCTGGTGGCACAATGGTTAAGCACTCAGCTGGCTAACCAAGGGTGGCTGGGGGGAGCGTTGAACCCGCCCCGCAACTCCAAGGGACCAAGAGTTGGCGAGCGGTTTCTGTAAAGCTGACAGCCAGGAAGACCCGATGGGGCAGTGGTATCCTGCCACATGGGCTTGCCACGAATTAAAACAGGCTCAATGCACATTGAACAAAACCAAGTAAACTCACGGCTGTCAAGCCGGTGCTGACTCATCATGGTCCTATAGGACAGGCTAGAACTGTCCCGTCTTTCTCCCAAGGGATGGGGGTGGTTTTGAACTGCTGACCTTGCAGTTAGCAGCCCCACTCTCAACTAGGCCTCCTTGAGTGGCACATTACAACAATTCTAAAGGAAGGCAACCTGGGTTTTCCTTGCTGTGGGGCCACATACGGTGTAGACCACTGCTTCGCACTTCAGTGTCTTTGTCTGCAAGGCAGGGATAAGAAGACAGGCAGTGTGTTTATTATAATGAAGGGAATGGCATAGTTTTATGTGCACACACTTTGAATTATATGAAATGCTTGAAAAAGTGCCTGGCCCAGTGTAGGCACTCTATAAATGTTAGCTGTCATTAATACTAGTTTTCAGCTCTGGGAAACATCTTCTTATATCCATGATTGTTTCCTCGTCTCCATTGTATTGAAGAGCAGATAACTTTAAGTAATACAAGTGGGAAATACGATTGCATTTTCTAGTTAAAAAAAAGTGGTGGATATGGACATTAGAGAGAGGGAAAAAAAGGCACCCACATCGTTCTTTACCTGTGGTTCTCAACCTGTGGTTCACAACCCCTTTGTTAGGAACCAGGACACCACTCCTCTATCCATCCCAGGCGGGTCCACTCACATGCAGATACGCCCACATATGAGTACCCGGCGTGAAGACTGTTACCCATGCTCCACCATGCTTCAAGACAAAATTTCATTTAATTGTCATTAGAAATATATATTTCACAATATATAATTACATACTGTTTTGTGATTAATCACTATGCCTTAATTATGTTCAATTTTTAACAATGAAAATACATCCTGCTTATCAGATGTTTACATTATGATTCATAACAATGGCAAAGTTAGTTATGAAGTAGCAACGAAAATAATGTTCTGGTTGGGGGTCACCACACAAGAGGAACCATATTAAAGGGTCGCGGCATCAGGAAGATTGAGAACCACTGTTCTTGACCCTTCAGGTGGGAGGCGACGAAGACTGGTAAGTGCTTTGAAGGCTCCAAGCGCCTGCCAGCCACTCACCTGCCTTACTGCCACTGGGCCCTGAGGACTGCTTCTAACAGAAGTCTATAGGAAACACAGACACCAAGGCAGGGATGTTGCCCCCGGGCCATCCATGACAGAAACACGTCAGTGAGAACATTATGAAGGAAAACAGGGAGCTACTCGGGTACCTGTCTGAGCCATGGGAAACTGCTGTCACCTCTAGAGGAGATTTTAAAAACGGATTGTGGCATGAGCTAGCCTCTAGTCTCAAAAACACCACTCTGCGCACTTACTCAAAAGACATAATTCAAAGAAGGAAGAGTTAGGGATGGTTACATTGGTATTATTTAGAACTGTGAAAACGTGAAGTAAAAAGCCTATCAATGAGCTTTAGTTCAAATGAATATTCTGTAACTCACTGCTATGGGGTTGATGCTGACCCACAGGGTCCTGAGAGGACAGAAGAGAGCAGCCCCTTTGGATTTTCTCTGTGGGAGCAGAAAGCCTCGTCTTTCTCATGTGGAACGACAGGTGAGTTCGAACTGCCACCTTGGGGTTTCCAGTTCAATGTGTAGTTGTGTTAGTAGTTGTGTTAGTCTGGGTCGACTAGAGAAACACATTCAGAGACATGCACATGTGTATAAGAAAGAGCTTTATATACAAGAGCAATTGAGTATTGAGAAAACACCCCAGCCCAGTCCAGATCAAATCCATAAGTCTGCTATGAGCCCATATGTCTGATACCAATATGTAAATACCTCTTCAGACTCACAAAACACATGCAATGACGCTGAATGCTGGAAGATCACAGGCCAGTGGGTGAGAAGTCTTGTGGATCCAGTGGCATTGTCAGGGGTCTCCACGTGGCTCCTCCAGCTCAGGGCACTAGTATTTCATGTGTCTTGTCAGCTGCCATGTCTCCCAGGGAGTGAGCCTGTGTCCTGCCTCCAGTGAGCTATTTATGCCCTTAGCACCTCCAAAATGAGGTTATCAAGCTACGACCTTATTGATAGGCTAGACTCCACCCCTTCCCTCTGAATCTTCAAATTGACAACAGACTATGGAACTACCACAGTCGTTCACTACACCACCAGGGCCCCTTGAATATTATATCTTAGTTCTCACGACCCTTGAGGCAATGCCGACTCATAGTGAACTTACAGGACAGGGTAGAATTGTCCCTGTGAGGTTCTGGGACCTTCAGTCTTTACGGGAGAAGAAAGTCCCATCTTTCCCCCTCGGACCGACTGGTGGTTTTGAATTGTGGACCTTGGGATTAGCAGCCCAACTCACGACCACTGTGCTACCAGGGTAAGTAATAGATAGCCACTAAGATTATTGAAAATGGAATATGTAGATAAACTTAGCAAGAGAAGTAAAACTAAAACTTTCACAACACCGTGATTGAAAAATACGAAACTGTACATGCAGGTAAAAATCAGAGTACAATTTAGAGAAATGACGTAAGTTAAGTTGAGGTGACAGGATTCAGGCAAATTTTCCTTTCTTTCCATACTTTTCAATGTAAAAATGATTCCAAAATTGCCGATACTATTGCTAAAACATGGGGGTTCTACCTGTCCCTTAGGGCCGGTGTGCGTCAGAATCTTCTCATTGGTGGCGAGTTTTCAGAGCTGGGCCTGGCGGACAGAGATGTAAAACAACCCGTCATTTCCACTCTGCACCCTTTACTCTTTTCTGCCTTTTGAATTTTGTGTCCTGTGCATGTGGGGCCAGTTTAGAAAATTAAATGGAGAGGCAATAAAATATATTTCTGATTAAAAAAATTAGGCCAAATGGTCTGATGAGGGAGAGAGATTAGTTGAGATGAACGTGGCCTTGAAAAATCCGGAAGACTTAATTCTTGTGCCACAGAATTGACGAGCAGGGAGAGGAGACCATGCAGGTTGGAAGGACTGCAGTAGGGGGCGTGGGTCCGCCTTGGGAGTCAAATGGAAGTGGTCCAGCGCGGGCAACACCTTGGGGCTAGGAGACAAGGGAGCCCGAACTTGCAGTGCAAGAGCGGAGCAGGGGTGGTGGGGAATGGGGGCAGAGGAGAAGGGGGTATGTGTGCTGGCCGGTAAGAGAGGGAGACCCGGGGGACCCCCATATGCAGAGGTGTAACGTGGATGGAGTGGGTACCTGTCCTGGCTAGACAAGCGGAGTGCGCAGAGTAGGGGTTCCGGGGTGGATGTGTGTGGTAGATTTTATATCAACACGGAGGGGCGCAGGATTCTCCGATGACGCGATCTCACACGGAGAGGCCAGCTGCACGGTGGCTCTGTGAAGCCCTTCCTGATCTGGTCGCAGTCTTGGTAAGATCTGGGGAGGTTTCACTCACGCTGTGGCCTGCTCTTCGTGTAAACTGACCATGAATGGAAGCTAGCTGACTTCTCTGGTTGGATTTGGACCCTGCATGCGGTTCGTCCGCCGACTTCTGGCGCGTCACCTGCCCTCATTAGACGGTTGACCTTGGATTCATTGGGCCGTCTCAGCTTCATTCTGTGACCTTCCCGCTTGCTGGTGAGCAGCCAGTCCATCCTGGAGTCTGCAGAAGCCTTTAGCTGACGTCTGACCCATAGACTTGAACTGGATTGGACTTGCCCCTTTCGACATCGGTGTGAGCCATTTCTGGATATAAATATCTTTCTGTCTACAGACAGGCAAGCATCAGTGGGCTTGCCGAAGCCAGCCTAACACAGCTTGGAACAGGAGAGCCTGCCGGCGTCCTTTGCTGAGTCCCAGGCACCTCCAGGCTCTGCAGGCTGGGGCTGGGTAGGGAGGGAGGAGGCAGAAACACCATCCTGGGCTTTTGCCTCTGGGATCAGTGTGGGTGGCCATGGCCTGCCTGGCACGTTTTGTAGCTGTAGATCGTAATAGTGTCTTCTCTTCAATAATTGGGAAGATAGGGTGAGAAGGCAAAGGCTGAGGTTCAGGTCTTGCTTAGCGGTGACCCTAATCACTATTTTGGCATCCTCAACTATGGCTACTATGACCTGCCTTGTAGAGAGGAGTGGGGGCCACAGCGAGGCTACCTTTGAGAATGCTGCAGCAGGGAACACCCGTGCTCTCTGGACTTTAAAGTCAACACAGGACAGATTGAAGCCCGCCATTTTAAAGAGTCAGGATGATTCCCAGGCCACTTAATTTATTTATTTTGAAATTAATCATTTTGTTGGGGGCACTCTTACAAGTCTTACAACAATCCATCATTGAATGGTATGAAGCACACTTGCACATATGTCGCCATCAACATTTCCCAAACAATTTCTTTCTACTTGATCCCAGACTACTTTAGACCTGGCGGAAGCCTGCAATAAGATGCTAACTTTTTCATCAGAAGGCAGGCTGGGGAGATACCCCCTGATAGAGGAAAGGCAGTGTCCACGCTGTGCATGTTCAGCAGGGAGTACAGGGTCCCAGGCCTTGATCTCTAGTTGTGGGGAGAGGAGGGGCCCCCACAAATCATCACAGGTCCGGTAGGCGCAATTGTACAGCGATAATAAGTAAAGATTATAGTAAAGTCAGAGAGAGCATGAAAGGAGAGAGTCAAATAATGGAGTCAGACACAATTCATGGTAGCATGCTCACCTCAGCCCCGCTAGGTGGTCCTCGTGGGGGGAGCCTAGCCACGAGAGAAGGAGTGAGCAGGAGAGCCCCCGGGAGCGAGGACCGGGGAAAGCCTTCACTTTATTGCTAACCAAGGGTTATATCTCATTAGGGGGACATGATTAGAGGTAACCACACGTCACAGGAAGGGGCAGTCCAATAGGCATACACATTGTAGGAAGGGGATCTATGATAGGCATAAGCATAACAGGAAGGGGATGAGCTAGGGGTGTGCCCATCGGAATGGGAAGGTCTAGGGGTATACATGTGACAAGATGGGCGGACCCTAGATTCATGATGGCGGCCTAACCTTGGTCATCCTTGGGCGGGTTTGACCTCTCTGGTGTCTCCTAAAAGGAAACAGACAACTACTATCCTTATCAGAAGGGAGTGGGCCCTACTTGTTGTGGGACAAACAGCAGTGTCTGCTTGCTCTAGATGGCTACTCCTGAGGACCTCCAAGTATGGTCATTCGCAAGTTTGGCATATATGTGGGGGAGAAATCCTTGTTTCCCACATCGAGTCCCAGCGGCAAGCAAGGAGAGAGAGGCAGTGGTCTACTCCTTGTTGGTGCTGTTAGGTGTCCTTGAGTGGGTCCTCACTCCTAGCCACCCAGTGCACAGCAGGACGGAACCCCTGCCATCACCCACGTATGTCCTGGTAATACATCGCCTCTGCCGCTTCCAAGTTACTTGATCTTCCAGCGCTTCCGTTTCTTCATGTGAAATGGGGACAGTAATCGTACCTGTCTCACTTGGGAGGAAGCAGGGAGGAGATCAGGTAAGTGTACTCACAGCCCCACACATAGTAGGTGTTGTACACATGTTTGTGGTGCACATTACTTTCCTAAGGTTGGCATGACAAAACGCACCAGCAGTGGGTGGCTTTAAAGGACAGTTATTTTCTTCGATTTTGCCTGCGGAAGTCCAGCTCCGGTCGTCAGCTCTAGGGGACAGTTCTTCATGGTCAGTAGTCACAGGCATTTCTTGGTGACTTGTAGGTGTGTTTTCACCTGATGTTTTGTGTGTGCTTCTGTCTATTCGGCCTTAAAAAAAAAGATAATAAAGACCTGCTGTATGGCCTAAAGAAGCACCATGGTCAAAAGGACTGTATTCTTACCATGTTTCCTGATCCTGACTTCTGGTGAACTATTATTTCCCTAATAACCCCCCATAATAAATACGATTTGTGAGTTAAAAAAAAAAGACAATATACAGAAGGGATTGGTTTCAGGACCCACCTTATTCTGGTATGGCCTTATTAGCCTAAAAAAGAAAGGCCAGTTTTCAAATCGGGTAACAGCTACAGGGACCTGGGGTAGGACTGACAGTAAAGGTTGACCCATTTGAAAATGTAGGCATCGGTAGAGGATGGAGAGGAGATCATGGTCTAGGGATTCGTGAAGTTGGAGCATTGCGTTTGGGACCTGGTGCTTTTACTGTTGTATCCTTCATGAATCATACACTCTGATTGTTCAATTATCTTAGGCAGCATAGTGCATCGCCACAACCAATTTCGGAACATTTTCTACTCAAACTCATTGTTAGCTCCTCATTTCCCCACATCCTCCCCTGCCCTGTCCCTACCCCTGCCCCAGGTACTGTCTCTGTAGTGGTAGCTATCCTGGACTTCATCTTCAGAAAAACACAGAAAACATAAATAGGAAGCAAGCAAGCAAACAACCCAGCAGCAGTGAGTGGACAAAACAGAGAAACAGTTCTATTGACAAGACAGCGGAGAACATGTAAAACTGACACGACTTAAAAAAGGGTCAGAGGGAGGTCAGATGATAAGGTGTTTTATTTGAACATAACTACATCTCCCATCATTGATTTTTACAATGCTTGATGTCTGATAGCATTCATCTCCCTGGACTGTGCTCAGAGGGGAAGTCACCTGGGGCTTAATCCCCATGGGGACTCTGCAAGTGGATGTGGGCTTCCATTACCATCGACAGCCTTCAGCAAACTGGGTGTTCACAATCTAAGCCTTGACCATTTCCTCCTCTGGATTTGGATTTTACCATTTCCAGTCCTTGGATCACACAGGTTGCCATATTTCTTCCATGTGGACTTGGTTGATATTGTACTTAGATGGATGCTTGTTTCAATACAAGCCTTTAAGATCTTGGATGCTATTCTTTCTGACAGCCAGACACCCAGATGATGTTATGATTTCTGGTTAAGGTGAGAGCAAGGTAAAAACCAACCCAAGCCTGTCCCAAGACTGTGGCTCATGGCAGTCACACGTGTGTCAGAATGGCGCTGTGCTCTGTAGGGTTGTCAATGGCTGGATTTTCAGAAGTACCGGGGGTCTCCTTGTGGACTCTGCCGCTGAGCGTGTTAACTGTTTGCCTCAGCCAGGGTCTTCAGGGGGATGGCAGAGCTATTAGCAATTACGGGAAAGCAGGAAGAAGAACCCGTTTATTGTAGTTCAGCACGAAAACATTTTATGCAGTGTCTGGGATGGTTCTGTTCCAGGTCAGAGGTGTCGTAAAACCAGGCTCAGGAGTCCCCGGTCTCTTCAGGCCAGCAAGCCTGGTCTCTTTTTGTGAATTTGATGTTTTTTGTTCTAGATTTTTCTCCTGTTCTTTCTGGGATCCTCTGTTGTCATCTCAGGGAGAGTGGCTGTCTCTTGAATCTTTGAGGGGGCTAATAATTGCTGTTTCAAGATGAAGTTTAAAAACAAACAAATAAACAGACAATCCCCCGTGTTACAGATTTTACCCATATATTTTAAGTCTCATGTATGAGATATGTCTGAAGAGGCATGTGTAAGCACATTTGATTACACTCGAACAGTGAAAATACGCAACTGTGTATGATTGTGGAAACAGGCAAGACTGTTCGGTGGACCTCTTTCTGAGTTCTCGAGCTCACTGTCTTGGGGGGATGAGGGGTCCCCAATGTCTTCAAGTTCTAGAAGCTGTGGCATTTCTGAGAATTCTCATAAACAACAGACGTCTAAGCTTGGGGCTGCTTGGTGCTTATGCTTAAAACGTTTATTCCTCTGTGTTCAATCACTCTTGCACATGCCCCACAGAACCAGGGTGCATCATGGAGCGGATTCTTTCTCCTGTGGGGTCTCCTGGTGCATCCCACTCCTCTGGCCCAGGGACATCCTGCTGCAGAACGCTGGAGGACGAAGACCAGGCCCGGCTAAGCCTGCTCCCATGAGGTCCAACCGCACCACGTGATGTGAGCCAGTGCCCATCCTCAGCCCTGGACACCAACAACTGTGTCGTCTTATCCCAGATCCTGGGGACAGAATACATGCGTTTTCATGACAAGACAAACTGTTCTGTGGCAAGCATCGTGGAAGTCCTGATCAGCACTCAGAAAGAACGGTACTGCTTCATCCGATGCCACATGCCTTTGAGCAAAGGGCTCAAGGTAAATTTAAGTAGCACCATGGTTTCTGAAGACCCATTATCATGAATTCCAGCTGCACTGTGCCATTCACAGACTCTAAAAGACTGCTATTTACTTTTTCTACTATTTTAAAAGGCAATTTTTAAAAATTTATTTTTTTAGATTTCTTTCTCCTCAGGCCTCCTAAATAATGGTTGTGTGTTTCCTCCTTAATGGGATGGAGCGAGCTCTTTGCTGCTGACTCTATTGATCAGGTTCAAGTTCATGGTAGTGGTTTGTTTGAAGTAGATTTTTTGTATATGTGTGTCTGAGCGATAAAAGTCATGCAAAGAGACAGGTGGCACAGTCCTCTGAGTTCTTGCTGTGACCAAGAAGCCTTTATTGTTTCTACTTTGGGAAAGGAAATAACACGTTTATAAGAAAAATCTTATTTGGCTTTGTAGTCAGTGCAATTATTGGGATTAAAAAAAAAAATCTCACTCATGACATTCCCTGACTTCATGCTACTGCAACTATATAAGGGTTAGTTATTTAAAACAGATATTTATGATGCACACCATACATGCACGTGAAATGCACTTTGACTTTCTAATTAGGACGCTGTTGATGCTGGTAAGTGCTACCTGTACATAGCTCCGCATATTGTCTGTAGGGGAAAATATTTCTACAAATGAAAAGCTGTGTGAGAAGACACAGAATCTCAAATCACATAGAAACAAAACAGTGCCAAAATATGGAAGCAGAAAGGGGCCTGTGTGTGTGTGTGCAGAGATGAGAGTCAGTAAAAAAAAATGTGTTGCTACAAGTGTGGTGCACAAGCAGATGGTGACCGGCTGTTGGAAAGCACTGAGTCTGGTGTTTGAGAACCTCTTTTACAACCGGCAGCCATCTACGTGAGATGTCAGCTAAGCCCACATAAAAGAAGCGCACACCAATCTGTAATTCAAGACTAGTAAATAGATAAAATTCAAAATCAGAGAAGGGAATTGTATTAGAGCTTCGATTTCGAGCACTCGGTTTGCAGAAGGCCATAGATAACGGTGAAAGGCCAAGCCCCCTTTGCAGGGTCCCCGTGTGGATTCAGCCTCCAGAGAATTCCCTGGACCATGGACCAGCCTGGGAACAGACAGACAGCCCTGTCCTCGGACACAGTGCGTCAGAAAGTGAATGGATGCAGATACAGTTAGGTTACCTTTTAGCAATTTACCATCTGATTTCCTTTTTGACCCATTTTTAATTTGTTGTAGTTTTTTCAGTTTCTGCTTTCTTTTGGCCTGAGGTTTCTCTGTGTTTTACTTTGCTACTGTTTTTGTTATTTTGGTATAATCGTCCTTGCAGGAAATCCATGGTAGGTCAACCTATAGAGACAGTAACTAGATGAATTGTTTCTTAGGGTTCTAGTAGGGAAAGGGGGACGAATGGGGAGCTAATCACACTGAGAACAAACATGAAGAAAGTGCTCTAAGACTGATGTGGTAGTGATCGCGCAACTCTTTTTAATGTGTTCATTGAATTGCACGTGTGTGAATTATGCCACTGAAACTGTTTAAAAAGTATTGCTACTGGGTTCCAGTTCATATTTCAAACAGGACCTGTTTGAACACCCTCTGTGCTGGACGGATGACTGCAGACAGGTTCTCTCAGTAATACACTGGCCTTCGTCTCTCTAAGGTGCCTTTAAAAACGGTCCTATGAAACAGTGGTTTCTGGGAGGGTTGGCCGGGCCAGTTCAGGTGCAAGCAGAGAGGAGAGTTGAGAAGGTTAGGATGACTGTGTTTTAGATTCCCAAGAGGTGATCTTGATAGTTTCTGGAAGGACAAAAGACAATCACAGGTGCTTATTCAGAATAAGTTTTAAGGAAACGAAAAACTGCTTTGGTGAGAAAAAGGCCAGAAAATTGCTTGGAGTAATTTTGTTCCATCCAACAATGCCTCTTCATTCTCCCTTCCAGGGTGGCTAGGTCTGTCCTCTGAGCAATCACTGGGAAAAAGTATCCAGTCACCCAACAGCCCCCATCTTGCCCCATTCAGATTTATTTTGGTTCCACAAACTCAAAGAATATGGAAAAGAAACATGATTTAAGTCCCCTGAGGCAGGCAACACTGTTATTTTAAAGTGGTGTCCATAGAAGAGTGCAGAACTCTTTATTAAAAAATAATTTTATTAGGGGCTCATACAATTCTTATCACAATCCATACATACATCAATTGTGTAAAGCACATTTGTACATTCATTGCCCTCATC